ATAAAAATATTAAAATATACTATATAATGCTAATTTAAATTATTTTTTAAATATATTTTAATTTAATAAAGCGGCTCAACGAACTTTCGACTTGAGTGAAGCTGAGCTCGAGCTCAAACTCATTTAACAATTTTTTTCTATTTCAATCTATAAGGGATAAGTATTATTAAGATTTTTGTTTTGAAATAAAAAAAGGAGAAAGAGAAGATGGATCAACTAGCATCGATCATTAAAGATTCCGGCCTATTCCATGCATTGAGCAGTTTTGGAGCAGGTTTGGCAGCATTCTTCTGCATGGAGGGTTGCTTTTGTGAAGCAAATTGATCATTCCATATAGCAGATTTTGGTGGGGCATTTGCACAAACACCTGAAGTGCAGTTCTCAGATTTGGAGGTATTATTAATGGCTGCATTTAGCATTTCCACATACTTGTTGTGAGCTTCCATAGAAGCATTAAGGTCCATACAGCCATCCATTTCAGAACATCCATTCACAAGATCTCCATTACAAACAGTAATACCCACAGCATTGATGGTAGCTGGGCGTACCTGAGCCGGCGAAGCCACTGCAGCAGGTGTTCAAACATCTTTCAATTCAAAGCCTTTCAAGTCTCGTTCAGGCTTGTTGCTAGTTTTGTGAACCTCGGCATCCATTCCAGAGGCAAGCATCTCCTAAAAAATGGGAGATGAGTTGGGATTTCGACGAGAAATACATACATGGTGCCTGGAACCATACTGAAGCTCGTGAGTCTTTATGAAACCTCCTATAAAGTATTTCAATAACAGAGAAAAGATGAACTTCATGCTAAATTTATTCACCAACGAGAAATGTCTGAATGACTTAGCCTGATCACACTAGAGAGAGATCAGGTCTGCGGCCGAGTGGTCGAAGAAATTATTTCCATCTCTCCCCGGTTGGAATCCCCTAACCATCCCAATATATATATATATACAAGGTTGTGAAAACCGGACCGGACAAAGAACCGGAAGAAGGAGAGGTTCAAGGTTCGACCGGTTCGAACCGGAGTCGAACCGGATGATGTAATAAATACTAATATTTTTAAAAATTTATAACATTAATAGAATAATTACGTGA